GTATAGTGGGTAATTCAGGGTTTTGAGGTACAGGGTGGTAGGTTTATTCAAGATACAGGTCCGAAGGTTAATCTGAAAATCCATCTGAGTTTGGGTTCCTTTTTACATTTTCTCATAACACCACTGTCAGAGAGTTAATTTATGCACTGTTTCAGGTACTTCCAAGATTTCAGGAGCCATTGTAGTTACAAGGAGGATGTAAAATGTAACATTATAGGATTTCTTTTAAATTAATCTCTAACCTTGACAGGGTTCCTAGTAATCCTTTATTTTAATTTCTGGGCTTTTTGTGGAAGTTTCTAAACATTAAGGCCTTGTTTTGTGAAGACAGTCTTTGAATAGTCTTAAACTTGTAGACTTTCCTAATGAGCTAGAGATAGGATTAGGCAGATTTGACAAAGGATAAGGAGGGAAATTAGAAGCAAATAAAAGCAAAGTTAGTTCTTCAGTGTTGTCTGCCAGGCTGGTGAGATACAGAATTCTGCTCTTCTGGTTTTCTTTCTGAACCATCAGACTGCTGCATCTGTTAGACCCAGCTAAGTTTCTCAGAGAACTGAGGAAAAAGCCAAAAAGCAGGCTTTTCTGAAATATTTTTAGGAAGTGGGGTAATTCTAGATAATCACTGGTTTGATTCTAAATAATTGTTGGCACATCTACAATTCTGAGTGGGTTTTCCAGTCAAAATGTCTTGTATGTCATGTGTAAGCATGATGGTTAACTTTCATGAAAGAGGATGTTAGATTTCTGACAAGGAGCACATGCTAGGGGAAGGCTGCAGAGGCCCTGATTTTGTTTTGGTTGACAAGGCTACTTAGGTTATTCAAGCAAGGGGACATTGAAGTTTTTGCAGGACAAGGGCATAGTTTTGTAGTTAGATGTTCTTCTTTTGAAAATGCTTTAATACAGAAATATCCCAGGAATAAAATACACTTTAAAAATCGATTCAGAAGTTCATACCTCCATACACTTAGTCTTTTTCTGTGTAATTTTATCCTTCGTGTGTGACTTTTCCATAAAAAAATTTAAGCTGGATGATTAAAATAATTAGAAGCTTTTCCCCTTTTCATTCATCTCTTGCCTATTTTATACAACATCAGTTTTTACCATTCCTGGTTTAGTCATTTAAATTTGCCATATGTCAATAGTAAACTGTATCCTTTCAGTCCTGCTGTTTTATTTTGGAAGTGCCCTTTGTAGTCGTACCATCTGCTTCTATGGAGTTGAAGTCTTGACTTATTACGAAAAACCAGTTACCAAAAAATACTACCAAATTACCAAAATATTATGTATCATCTTCTATAAGGAAAGGTCCAATATAAGTCTTCAAGAGCAGTAATTGATCCTGTAATATAAACTTGGATTAAATTTCTCCAGTTGAATGTGGTTATAAAGCTGCTGTTCCATTTGTTTAAATAGGACTACCAGCTCCACCCTTTCCCACTTCCTCCTAATTCATTCATTTTTTATAGGAGGCATGCAGTGTTGGCTTGATGGATAATTTCACATTTCTACCAAATTGTTATGTTTCTTTGTCTTAGTTGCTTACAATATATTATATGTACATCAGAAATTTGAGGGTGCTCTTCACTCCTGACCTCGCTTTATGTGATATAAAAGTTACTATTCTCCTGTATATGAATGAAAAGGCATTATTTCTTCTGTAACAGTAACAACTCACTAGGCTTCTTTGCCTTCCCATGGACATGCATCGCATTTGAGGATTTAGGGAATGGTTTGCTACTGACTCGAAACAAAATTACTGGGTAAAAGTTGGTGCTGGTGTTTCCAAGTTCATACTCCAATCTCAGGTTAGACTTTTAAGTATAAATAAAGTTAATCTTTCTGCATAAACTTAGACACAACTTTATCACTTCTTTATCTTTTAACTTGTTTTGCAAACTAAAAAAAATAAAACCAAAAAAGCCAACCAAACACAAAATCTGAGTTCCCAGTTTGCAAGTGTTAGGCCGTAAAGGTGTTAACAGACCAAATGTTTTTTTTTAAAATGAATGATTTTTTTAAATACCATGTAGTTGACAGTCTGTCTTTCACAGTAACCTGAAGAGATGGGAAATGAAGCAGATGCCAGTTCTGCACTTCCCATCAGGATGCTGTAAATATAGTTTGTTCAGGGTAGTCAGGATGTGTTCCTCTTTGCTAGCAAGCACCTAGTACACTTAATTTCCTCTTCTTGGGACTATGTCTTCGCTTAGTGTGTTTTCTTTAATTTTCTAGCAGTGGGAGGAGATTGTTAGCATGTAACAGGTTTTCTTTATTCACAAACTCAAAATCCCCAGGTAGGATTGATTTTTGTCTTTGATCCGGAGTGAAACTAGCTTAAGGCTTGTCTATTCAGCGTATGTGTGGTTTTTCATTTTACTGGAGCACAGCAGTAACGTGTTTATATTGTAGCTTAATGCTACGTGGGAGGACAGGATACTAGGGACTAGAGTGGGCAAACTCATGTGTTTGTTTTGGTCATTTTTTTCCATGCTGTCTACCCCATTTGCAAAGCTTATTAACAGAGGCTGAAATAGCATAAGGAAATGCCTTTGGACTAATGAATAAATGCGATTTAATGTGGTTGTAAACCAGCGTTTTGTGGAATAGTTCAGTTATTTATGTATTTGATTAAAAATTCTAGTGGACAAAAAACTACTTTAGATCCTAAGTGTTGCATTAAGGTGGCAAAAGCAGTTCCAGTATATTCCAGCAAAACTGACGCTTTCATATGGTGTTTTTTTGAGCAGTGGTTATGAGTTTGAAATGGAAATCGGTTGAAATTGAAAGCTATTAACCATACAAAATGAAATAGGTTGTCAAAATACCGTCTTGTTAAAACATATCTTAACCAGAGCAGATGTATTCTTACAGTCACCCTTGGTGCCTGTTGAGGCAACATAATAGTGAGAAAAAGAGCTGAAGATAGACATGGATAGAGCGAGATTAAATAAGCATGGATTGCATGAAAGTAGAATATTTTTCTGCCTTATGGTAGGATGAAGTTTTAGTTTCTTCATGTGAGTGTCAAAGGTGACAAGTCCATAATTCTGCAGCATTTATTTCAGTAACTCATGAAAAGGACTTTTTCTGAAAAATGGCTGAAGGGCCTTTTCCATACTGATTAATGAATCTGTTGCATTGAAAACAGACAGGGAATAGTACTGTATAAAAAAAAAATGAAATGTCATGTAACTTCATTTTAGTGTATGAGGTTTCTTTTCTGTTTAGCAGTTGAAGTGGTTAGCAGGTAAACTTTTCCTTTTTAGATAAAGAATGTCTTTATTAATTCCTGTTCTCTACAGAAGGGAAACACCTTATTTTTCTGAAGTTGATGGGTGGTATACTGATTTGGCCACCTACAAAACAGACATGAATATAAATCTGGTTCTTGTTCTGGCTGAATGTGTGATGTTAGAAGTACTGTTTTAAATGAATGGTTAAAAGCAGCAGAGCAAAATTGTACCTTCCATACATAGGAAGTGAAGCAGTAAGTAAACTGAGTATGTTAGATGAGGAAAACCAGAAGCAGAACAGCATTTGATGCTGGAAAAAGTTTGAGGAGGATTTTTCAGTAGTCTAGTCAATATTTCTAGTTAACATCAGATGATGTCATTTTGTTTAAACAGTGAATAGAGTTTCTTGACCTGTACTTTATCTAGTTTTTATTTTGTGTCATATATTGACTCCCAGAACTTCAGTGTGGGATGTATGCACTTCATCTACTGGCCTACCTAATACTGTGCCATATTTCTTCACCTTTTCTTGTCTTAATATTTTGTGTCTGGGCGGTGGGGAGGACCACAAATTTTACCAATGGGGGCATGGGTCTTTTTAGTGTAGGACCCCATCTGTTGATTCAGCCATAAATTCTTAGGACTCCCATAGTAGTTTTCCAATTTCTTACATATCATTCTTTTTCTTTTAACAAAACCCAGAAAAGTCTGGTATTTGTCTCACTGGTAGGCACGGTAGGAGGGAGGAGAAGGCATCTTGTTTTAACATTGCCTTTGTGCTGCCCGGAAATATTGCAGTGAAACGATTCAGTGTTTCTCTGTGTCCCTTCGGAGAGTGGTCAATACCAATTAAATGTCACCAGTGCTTGACAGATTTTATATACTTGTGCTGTTTTATGTACTTCTATATACTACATGAAGACTGTGGAAGTCTGTAGTATTTTTTATTTTTATGTATAGTATCTGCTCTATCACTCTTGAGCAGAAAAAGGTTTCTGTTCTTACATCAGCCTATCTTTAAATTATGTTTTGTGTAGGAGTAGTCAGCATGGATTTATGAGGGGGAAATCATGCTTATCCAACCTAACAGCCTTCTACAATGAGGTCATTGGCTTGGGAAGAAAGAGGGAGAGTTTTCTTCAACTTTACTAAGGCCTTTAACACCATCTCCCATAGCCTCCTCGTAGACAAGCTGGCATTGTACAGGTTAGATAAATGGTCAGTGAGGTGGATTGAAAACTGATTAAACGGCTGGGCCCAGAGCGTGGTGATCAGCAGCACAAAGTCCACGTGGAGGCAAGTCACTGGTGGTGTTCCCCAGGGTGTAACCAGGGGCCAACGCTGTTTAACATTTTGATTAGTGACCTGGATGCTGGGACAGAGTGCACCCTTAGCAAGTTCGCAGACAATACAAAACTGAGAGGAGTGGCTGAAACGCCAGGTGGGTGTGCTGCCATCCAGAGTGACCTGGACAGGCTGGAGAATTGGGCTGCAAGGGATATCATGAAGTTCAACAAAGGAAATGAAAAGGTCTCGCTCTGGGGAGGAACAACCCCAAGCTGGGGGCTGACCAGCTGAAAAACAGCTCTGCAGAGAAGTATGTGGGTGTTGTGGTGGACAGAGCCAGAGATGCACGCTCATGGCAAAGGCGGCTAACTGTAACTTGGGCTGCGTTGGGAGGAGCATTGCCAGCAGCTTGAGGAAGGCAACCCTTCCCGACTGGGGTGCTGTCACCAGTGCTGGACTCGCCAGTGCAAGAAAGACATGGACTTACTGAAGCGGGCCCAGTGCAGGGCCACCAAGATGATGAAGGGACTGGATCGTCTGTCAGTCAAGGAGAGGCTGAGAGAGCTGGGGCTGTTCAGCCTGGACAAGAGGAGGCTCGGGTGGGTTTTATTCATGTGTGTAAATACCTGATGAGAAGGAATGAAGATTAGGGAGTCACGCTATCCTCAGTGGTGCCCAGTGACAGGGCAAGAGGCAATGGAAACATGTTAAAAAACTTGAAATTCCATCTGAATACAAAAAGAAAAAATCCTTTTTTTATGGTGGGGGTGGTCAAACAGTGTCAGAGGTTGCCCAGGGAGGTTGTGGAGTCTCCATCGCTGGAGATGTTCATTACCCAACTGAACATGGCCCTGAGCAACCAGCTGTAGCTGACCCTGTGTGAGAGGGGCTGGGGGGGGAGGTTGAACTGGACAATTCCCAGCAGTCACTTCCAACTTAAGTGATTCTGTATATGTATAAATATAGTGTTTATGGTTGAGGATCAGTGTTGCAGGACCTATTTGATGAGAATTGTTACTTAAAGTAGACAGGTATAATATCAGAGGCAGTAGCTAATAGGGAGTACTTTAAAGGAAAGTGCAAGAAATCCTTAAGTTGGTAAAGAGAATATTTCATTATTTTCCATATAGTCAGATATCATAATTTCTGCTCTAAAAGCTCGAGAATTCACATTTAAAGAGCAAGTCTTTCTAAGGTAGCTAAAAGTGCTGCTTAAATATTTAATAAATCTGCTTGGAATATCTACCTTTTCCTTCTAAGGTATGTTTTTATTAGAATTATTTATGTATACAAACCAATGTTGCTAAACTAACTTGAAAGCTACAGTGATGTTTCAGGAATGGAGTGTCAAGGTCTCCAGGACACTCAGTGTACCCAGTCAGTGTTCTGGTAAGTTAGCATTCTTGTGACAATCAGGCTCTAAAAAAGTAATTTTCGTCTTCAAATTTTATTATTTTCAGATGCTTCTCAGGCCAACTATATACCAAATAATTTCTTTTTGTTAGGGTTTCCTTTTTTATTAAACTGAAATAGTAATAGTTGCTCATCCTCAAGTGCTAATTGTTGGGGGTTTTTTTGTAAGTATAGAGTTTCTGTAGGGTTGGAGTATATGGAATCATAGAACCATAAAACAGCCCAGGTTGGGAGGGACCTTGAAAGATCATCTGGCCCAACCTTTGTGGGAAAGGACGTATAGCTGAGATTATCTAGCACCTTCTCGAGCTGCATCTTGAAAATCTCCAGTGCGATTTTCCTCTCTCCCTGGGGAGGTTTTTCCAGTGAAGATTGTTTGCGCTGTAAAAAAACTTTAACTATTGGAGTACTATGATGACGTCCCCCTGAGCATTCTCCTCTTCTGGGAGAAGAGGCCTAATTCCTCAGTTTTTCCTCTTAAGGCAGGTTCTCCAGCTCTTAGATCATCTTTGTGGCCTTCATTTGGATCCTCTCCAGTCTGTCTGCATATTTTTTGAATTGTGGGGACCAAAACTGGACACACTACTCCATGTGCAGCCTGAGAACCGGGAAGAGTGGGTTGATCACCTCTCTATCTCTGCTAGCAGTGCCCCTGCGGATGCAGCCCAGGATCCTATTTGCCTTCGTTGCCGCAACAGTGCACTGCTGACTCACCTTCAGCTTGTTGTCCACCAAGACCCCCCAAGGTCCCTCTCAGCAAGGCTGCTCCCCAGCCACACAAATCCCAGCCTGGACTGGGCCCTTTGGTTATTCTGACCCATGTGCAGGTCTTTGCACTTGTCTTTATTAACTTCATACTGTTGTTACTAGCCCACTCTCTCCCAGCCTGCCCAAGTCTCTCTGTAAGGTGGCTCTCCCTTTTGACATGTCCATCTCACCACCCAGTTTTGTGTCATCAAGAAATGTGGTGAAGGTACTTCCAGTCCCATCGAGCTCATTTATGAAGATGTTGAACAGCGTGGGGCCCAGCAGTGATCCCTGGGGGACCCCAGTCATTAACAGGCAGCCAGCCAGAGTACAAACCACTGATCGTCATGCTCTGAACGTGGCCCATAAGCCAATTTCCTACCCATCTTGTAGACCGCCCATCCAGTCTGTATCTTGCTGGTTTGTCCAATTTATGTTAGTGTTGAGATGTTAGCTGTATCTGATTATATTTCAAGAAGTTGAATATGTAACTACATAGGAATATTGAAAACATTACTATTTTCTGTTAAGGATTATTGTTATTGGCTCACCAGCCAATAACAGTATGTGATTTTCTTAGTAGCTACTTACAGGTGTTTGGACAAGGGTTTCTTCTAATGCACTTCCCCTTGCAGAGTACACTTCTTGCTTTTTTGGAATAGTTTCCAGAAAACATCTAGGTTTAGCCTACCTTTCATAATCATCTCGGGAATCATATGGTAATTCTGTGTTGATTTGTATAAGAAGTTTTTCTAAAACTTTGGTCTCTTTTTTTATTATTATTATTTTACATCCACCACTTGCTCTGCATAAAATTATGCTTGTGTATGTAAATGTTGACCTGTATGTACGATACATAGAAAAGGATATTCTGTCTGTGGCTTACTCTCATTGGGTTTATATGGTTATTTTATAGATAAGTTGCATGATCTTTTTCTATATATAAAACTTAAGAGTAACCACAATCAATCAATTCCTTTTTTATATTGCCATCTGTTAGTAGCGTAACACTGGAGACGTTACAAGATTCAAGCTTGGATATTTGCTTAATCCGGAAGATTAAGGAATTGCTTGCATTATCTTGTTGAAACCACACCTTTTCCCTAGATTTTTTCCTGCATAGATTTTTGTGCTTTCTGAGCATCTGTGGAGAAATTTTTTTTTTTTTAGTTCTTTCCACTCCTTGGTAATAAAAGGGATGGTAGAGGAATGTCTTTATTCCTCCAAAAGCAAAATGTTACCCAGCCTCTGTAGTAATCGTCTCGTTTTATATGCAGGTCTAGAAACAGGGATTTTTTTTCTTTTCTTAGTTGTACGCACAGTTGTTTTATGTCATGCTGTTGGATTTGTTGCGTATGGATTGTACTCTCTAGGTTATATTCCCCCACTGTTGTTCCTAGTGCATGTGGGAGGTACCGGACATCTTTTTAATTCAGGTGTTGTACCTATCTGATTTCCAGTTTATAAACTGTGAGGATTTTCTCGCTATAGAAGCAGTTACCTATCCATGGGTGTGATGCAGCCCTCTAGAGAGGCATTCCAGCTTGTAAGAGGAGGTGAGAGTGGAACACAAAACAAAAACCTTGGTTTTTGGTTACTTGGTTACTTTGGTTACTTAACTCTCTTGGTTAGAGAGTGTGAGGTGCGAGGAGGAGGAGGAAGATAAAAGAGCCTCTGCTACAATTAATGAAGTTAATGGCATACAAGATGAACAACGTCTTAGGAATTCATTCATTATTGCCAAAGAGTATCCGCTGATTTATGTACTAGTATTAACATTGTTTCTGTAGTAGTTACTCTTAGTTCAGAAAAAGGCCTGTTTTTGACCTGAGGGCACAAGTAGGATGCATGTAAAACTGGGAAGTTTCTTGTTAAAAACTTCAGTGAATTCCAGAATTGATTTGCTAAGCTAATCCTTCAGTCACAAGATGCAAGCTGTTTGAAGAGCTGTTTTTCAGCCAGGTTAGCTGCTTAGTGGTGGCTCTTGCAAAAATGAGATAGGCAGTCTTCACTAAATACCCCAGGTAGGATTAGAAGACGTCTTTTGGTTATGTTGGACATTATGCTGTTGTCACATCTCTGTCTCTTTAAAAGCTTATAGCATTGTTTCTTACAGCAGTTTAAACTTTTAGAATCTTTCATTAGTGAAGTTATTTAAATGTAATTCTTTCTGACTGTATGCTTACCTTGCTCTTTCATCTTTGCGTAGTCTTTTTGTCAAGTTGTACTGAGGTTTTGGGTTGATCTGTTTTGTTCTAGCACAGAGTTGATGTATACTGAGCTGAAAGTTTTTTCATACCTTCTTTTGAGGTGTGTGCAAGTAGCACAGTTAACAGGTTGGCACAGCTGGTATACTGAGGCATGCCTATGGTAGTGACTTTCCATGTTAATTGGCTGGTTCTTAGTCTTGAAGTACAACAGAGTCCAGTTTTCCACATGCTGTTTTTAAGGGGTTTTGGAACAGTCAAATGAGAAAATCAGAATTATTTTTCATTAGGCTTAGATGGGTATGCTTACATGCATTGTACCACCTCTTCTAAAAATGCAAAGGGATGGAAAAGAGAGAAAAAACCCTCTCTCTCTTTCCTAGAAGAGCATTTAACACTCAATTTCATGCATACTGGATGAAGAACACTTAGCTTCAACTCTTGTTTCATTATCTTAATGGTGCATCCAGTGTGGTAGTTGATACCTATTGGCAGAACTTTTTCTGTCAGGAAGTTCTTTGTGAAGACTTCGTAAAAAATTGGTAACTACTGAACAGTAGCTAAGAAGATGGAAGAAGGACGTGAATTTAGTGAAGTCTGAGTGAAACTTACCTTAATGTAATCTCTACAAATAATGTGCATAAAGGAAGTAATGCAGCCATAGAAATCTGACAAAGATGAGGGATAAAAGTGTTAAAACGCAGAGTCTGGATAAAAATGGTAAAACTAAGAATGCATTTTAGGTTGAGAAAAACTGTAAAACTGAAATTGAACTTGAACAGTGAAGAGGAGCATCAAGTTGGGAGATGGAAAGCTTGAGAGGGGATGGTTGGTGTTAACAGGATAAGAAGAAACAAATAAGAATACAGGATATTTTGTTGTGTGTTTTTTCTCCTCTGTCTTCCTAAAACTGTACTCAAGATTTCTGTGCACCATTTGAAATTGAGGGTTTTCCTAGTTCAAGGTAGTCATCTTTGCTCTCTTTTGCTTCTAATGGGAACAGAGCTCACATAGTCTCAGGAGGTGATAACAAGCATCTGCAATGTGTGAAAGGTACAAAGGTGGTGACAGAACTGATAGGAGGGGAGCTCTGACCATGACTCCTAGAAGTTCTCCATTCTTCTACGGGTTTTGTTGAAGCAGCAAGGTGTGGCTAAGAAGAGCTTTGAGTGAAGTGGATACGGCATTTGATGACTCTCCTGTGCACTAGAACTTCTTTTTAGGCAGAAACAGAGTGGTCTGCAGCTATTATCAACACCTACATTTGTCCTAAGTTAATGAAAAACACTTTACTCCCCTTCAGCACTTTCTCCTGCATTCCCTCTGCCCTAACCTACAGTGTTTGTTGCTAAGTAAAAATTGCAGCTTACTGCAACAGCAGAGTCCTTTAGCAGAACAACAAAGCTTCGTAATATTTGCTTTTCCCACATGTAAAAAGGAAATATGTAAATAAAAGGATTTGGCTGAACAATGTGACATGCTTCCACACACAATAGCAGCTACCTCCTTCCAGATGGTAAATTCACCATCTGCTGCCTCTTTGTGAACAGCCTGTGCCTTGCATGGTGTGTCAATGTTGGGGGCCAAAAGTCCTGTTACTGTACCGTGAGCTTGCTAAAGGGATGCAGTGGTTGCATTCCTGGTCACAGTAGC